GGGATGGAGGAGTGCAGAGTGCAAGATTTAGGTCACTGTGACTTATGACTTGACCTTTGATCTTTACTTTTGAAAATATTTGTACGGGGCATATCTTCTATGCTTTCTCACCTGGAGTAACTAGATTTGGCCAAACAAGGACATCTTGGGATGGTGTAGTGAAGTAGGTCACTATGACCTCGCTGTGACCTATATATATGCTTCCTGACATAAGTGTACTGTTTGTGTATAGAAATTTTTACCGGTGGCCATGGGGGTCTATGGATTGCCTTGCAACAATTTGCCTTGTTAATACATATTTTCTATGCACAGTAGATTATATCTCTTTCATTTTGTCTTCAGAAAATTTTGCCTTAAATGGATCAGGCGATATATTGACAAGGGTGTTAAAATAATAGTAAATTAGTAACAACAAAAAGGCCTACATGGAAAATCTGACAGATTTTCTTAATTAAAATACATTTTTTTTAAACTATCATTCATTTCATTTTCATGGAAGAATATTCAGCGCACTATGTCCTAAGGAGGAATTCTGTTTGTTTTGTTACGTTAAAGTTCTTGGCTGGGGGCGCCGCAGGCGCCCGAAACCTACACTATCATCACAAAGGTTACTTAACTATGTGCGCTCGCTTATAGGCAGTACCTATTTCATATTAAAACTACTTCAGAGTTAATTATCTATCACTCAGTTTTTCATGTATCCTCGGAAAATCGGTTTCGATAGCCTTTATAGGCGACTATTATACCCACTTTCATCGAGGAACTGAATTTCTCCTTCCGGGAATGATCGGTATGGATTTCGGAGCGGTCACTACGTATACAATCCTGTGTTCAAAGAAAGACGACTCGAACACATTTGTAAAAAAATAATTACGGTGGTTCATACGACATATAGTTTGCTGGTCAGAACTTTTTTCTTAGCTGCATTTTTCTCTTTCAATTTGTTAAATATTAATGAATATGTTTGATTTATTCTCTATTGAAGATATTATTTTTTTCTTTAAAAATTAACGATATAGGAATATAAGACAAAACAAGCATTGGCTGCTTTTTTGCATGATATCTGATAGTAATATTTACGTAGGTATCTGAGGCTCTGTTGATGACGTTTCATTTTTAATTTTCAAATAAAAGTAACCATTGGCAGGTTTTCCCGTTTTTAAATGCTAACAAAAAAAATTAACTCCGGATGATTTAAACTCCACTTGCGGACTACTACTGATGAAAAAAGCAAGTAACCGCTAAAAGATATCGCAATGATTATTGATTTTTTCGGGTTTATTTTATTTTGGGCTCTCTTCAATAATTACAACGTTCTCTTTAAGAAATGTTACTATCCACAGTTTATATTCTTTTGATAATTCAGTGCGATCTTGGACTTCAATTCGGCCAAGTTTTAAAAACTATTTACCTAAGATGTACAATCGTCCCCACATATACCTTCGGTTTTGGAGAAAAGTAAGTTGAATCCTCTGTATCCTGAGACACCAGTGTAGTTTCATTAAATATGACCATTACGGAGTAATTGTGGCTTACCATATGAGGAAGATTTTCCTTTTTCTTCTAGTGTCATTTATTCATCTACGAAAGGCGTATCAAATTTCATAGTTTGAATGCCTAGGATAATGAGTTAAATTGTAGATCTGCTTTTATTAGGGAATGCAGAAACACATCACTTATACATTGTGCGAGGCGAAGGGACGACAGTAAATAAGCCTTTCTTCGTTGAGTCGCCTTGCATAACACGGAGGCCTACGGACGGAAACAAAAGAGGGGTACTAGAATCTGTTAGAGTCACGAATGTATTGCTGAGTATGCATGAATATCGTTATGTTTTCCTGTTCCGGGATATGTTTAACATAATTCAACCATTTAAACTCGATTTGTCCACTTTCATTTAATGAGTACATCAATTTGTACATACGACTAGACAACTTATTTTCACTCTAGGTAAGTGTATACCAAAATTTAATCATTCTTAATTTGACGTCAACCTCAATAGGGTTTCTGCCCGTTTCTCCATATACCATACAATTACAAGTAATTCTACGTAGACCAAGAATTCGTTTACAGAATTGGAGGTGTATTTTTTTCAAGTATATTAACATCCTCATATCCCCATATTTCTGATGAGTATAGCAAAATTGGAGCAACTTGCGAGTCAAACAATTGTAAATCAATGGGTAACGTAACATTTCTTATTTTCCTATATACGGCATAGAGCGCTTTTTGGGCCTGTTCCGCTAATTGCTTTTTTTGCCACTACAAACCTTCCATTATAGTAAAGTAGAACACCTAAGTATGGAAAAGAATCTTGAATGTCTAGCTCATTATTATATAATAGAAATCGATATCTGTAAGTATTCTTTCGTTCAGAAAACAATTTTTGTCTTCTCTGTGTTTACCTTTAGTTTCCAATTCTCACAATAATCCTGAAATCTATTTAGCACTGATTGTAGACCATCTGCTGTCTCTGACATTAACACTGTATCGTCAGCATATCAAATAAAAAAAAGTTTTACGTACATACCAATATGATCATGACAAAGTTCATCAATCTTTAGTAAACTATCGACATTTCTATCCAATGAATAGTCTTCTGAATCATTTAAAAATAATGCAAATAAAAAGGCGAGCAATTTTCCCCTTGTTTTAGTCCGACATTGGAAGTGAACATTTCTGACATTTTATTCCCATTTATCACACAAGATTTCGTATCAGAATACATGTTAATTAAAACTTTAGATATTTTACCAGTTATGTTACAGTTGAGTAGTTTTTGCCACAAGCCTATTCGTCAAACCGAATCGAAGGCTTTTCTAAAGTCAACGAATGCACAATATAGTTTTCTACCGGAGGATAATTATAACGTTGTCAAATCGTGTAAAATAAAAATGTTGTCTAGTGTTGAGTCACCTTTTCTGAAACCTGCTTGTGCGTTACTTATGAGTTCAATTTCATCAGATAGTTTGTACAATCTTGCATTTAAAATCGACGTAAAAACCTTTCCCAAGCATGAGACCAACGTAAAAGCCCTGTAATTATCCAACTTTTTGCGATCACATTTGTTCTTATAGATTGGATTGATATTATACCAGTGTCCAATATTACATTAAAGCTATCAACATTTACAGGTAATATTGTGTCAACCGTACTCTTTATACACTCATTGACTATATTATCAATACCACAAGCTTTTTTATTATTCAAATGTTTTATAGCATGAACAATCTCATCAGTAGTAATTCTATCATTCAAAATATTATCGTACAAACATTCATTTACAAGTGGAATTTCAAATTCCTCCTCTGTTTCATTATTTAGATTCAATTTTTTAAAATATTCATGTAGTTCGTCTATTGTCAGATCAACTTTATGACGACCTTTAGGCTTATCAATTCTATTCAAAATGTCCCAGAAGGCTTTTGGTTTAAATTTGGAAGCTTTCCTCATTCCATGTTCAATTTTTTCTTGGAACTTTTTATAGTTACTATTAATGAGTTTTCTGTACTCTCTACCTTTGTTGTTCATTTTTTTTCCGATTTCTTTGGCTTTTAAAGTTTTTGTAATCTCTCTTAGATTCATGAAATTCTTTTCTTTTCGTAACACATTCACGGGTAAACCAGGCTTTGTCCTCTTCCGTGAACACTTTTTTCCCATTGTGCAATTTTTTTTTGTTCCGAAAACTTCTCTTGCTGAGTTCAAAAACAATTCAGCTAAGTTATTTACTAAATCGCCTCGCGATATAATCTCAATTGGAGACTCATGTATATTTTTAATTTTTGAATTGATTTCGTGTTTTGGCCCCTCCCGTCCATATATACTGTAGTTACGAAATCAGTTTGTTTTTGTTTACCCATTTACCGATTCTCTCAGTAAGATGAACCGGTTCCTCGTTTTTGTATACTGTTTCAGAATATTGAATAGTAAATTTTAGTCTACAGTGCACGTCTGAAATCAAAGGATCAAAGTCTAAAACTTCAAAGTGACACAAGAGAGGAAAAGCATTAGACGATACAATCAAATAATCAACTAAGCTCACATATTTACAAGTATTCTTACCAATGAATCTATCATTGCCGACTCTACCGTTTGCAATGTATAAATTATTATTTTTACAAAAATCAGGCAGATTATGACCAAATGTATTTAGGTCTCGCTAGGTCTTGACTCGTTCTTTTAAGCGGTACCCAAAAACGGGTTAACTCTAATAATCATATAAATACTCATGTAAATCGTCATTTTCATGTAATTCAATGTTTCAATTAAATGTTCATCTGGAACGATATAATCGTCACAAGTATTAGTTCTGGCATTAAAATCTCCTATAAGTATAACTTTTTTGTCATTTTTAATTAAATTAATCATTTCGCCCTGAATATCTAAGAATGCTTCATTAGAATCATACCTGGAAGTTTCGGAACACAAAGGAAAGGAGGCGACAAAACGAAGATTTTGGGACGCCAGTCAATGCCTTGATGTTTATACATCTGTCTCTTCGTTCATTTGTCCTCTCGTCCTATAAGACGCGACGGACTGAAGGAATGTAACTTTTGAACGAGTTTCGTCCTTGTTAATCAAATTCCAAAATATATGGCTTATCTTAATCACTCGTTTGTCTGTCATAGGATCTCTGATATCAAACGAAAAGGCATGTACAGTTTGGATTGTTTTGCAAATTAATTTTAACATATTCGTGAAAGAACAATTTGTGAAAATCAAAGCTGAGAGCTACAGTAAATATATTAAAATAAAAATAAAAAAAATGCATCCCTTTAAATTGTTTTAAATTTTATGTCGTGATTTTGGTAGCAGAAATCCGCATATGCATATAACTCAGTGATTCTGTGACATTTCAATTTCCTACAAAGTTTGGGATTTTCAATCCACTTTACAGTCTCACTGCTGTATGAAGGAGCCCACTGGACCTTTTCGTGTCAAGATAGTTAAGACAACGAGAAAAGTAGTACAGGGTTTGAAAATAAAAGTAAACGATTGCATAATTTATTTTTTGTTTTATTTCACACACGTTTACAGCTGTACACACTTTAAGACTAGAGAAACAGTATACATCCATGTACAATGTGTATCTAAGTGGAGTTGAAAGAATCAAAATCATACATTCCACATAAGATATATTAAATTGTAAAATAAGTTCAATTTATTATTATAACAAGATGAAAAGATTAAAGTATAATAAAATAATGGAAATAACAGTTATATAAGATAATAATCATGTGATTTCCTTGGTAGTAAGATTTCATCAGATTTAATTTACATGTCACAACTGTTTAGATAAATAAATGTTTTCTACGTATCAATTATCATGGAAAGATTGCCATATCAATTAATAATAAATGTAGCCTTGGTTTCCTACCAGAGACATTCATGCTACGCTTGGCAAATTTTATGGTTGTCATATGACCTGATTTCAGTACGGTATGTGATTTTGGTCTAGATTTAGCATTCATGATGTCTGACGCCGTTTATGACCGCCTTGTTTATCTCGATTTGACATGAGACGTGACGACGGGTGCCACATTGGGTGGATGATACCCGTCAAGTCTTCGTGGTATCACACCGCACTGTTTGTGTTGGTTATTTTTTTCGTGTCGACTCTGAGTTGATAAAACAAACACTGTGACTCATCTACATGTATTTTCATCCAAAATACATAAAATACAGACAAAGAGTAAACCAGCATACGGCAAACATGAAATTAGATGGTTAAGCAAATGAAGTTCTTCTTCAAATGACGAAGAATATAATAGAGTATAAACAACAATTCATAATACAGAGTACGTAGTATAACATTTTGTTTTGATTAAATTCATGTTAGCATTTTGACAAGGCTGGGGGATTTTATTTCAATAATGAAAAGATAAAATGATGTTTAGTGTTTTTCCAAATGCGCAAAATATGTTGTCAAATGACAACAATTAATTAAATCATGCAATGTTGAGATGTTTATAATTACATATGTTCTTGCAGTAACTACACCTCATATGAAAATTAAGGAAAAACGGTTATTTAGTATTATCGACGACAATATTATAAATGTGTCGCTGATGTGTGCAAAATTAAGAAAACACAAGTTCGAATTCAAAAATGACTCATATGATCACGCTTTTCCTTGTATTAACTATGATGGTAAATTAGTCTACGTTAATAAATGTTGTTAGAATTGATTAAAGTAAAATGAACATATTTCATTATTGTATTGTCTGTATTTATAACAAAAGTTAACAGTACTGTGAAATGCATTTAGTATCTCCATGATTTGCATATTTTTTTTCTTCTTGTATATGGTCATCTCGTCACGCTTGCGCAACAATTAGTATAGTATGTTTCTGAACAATTAGACATGAACGTTATATGTTTTTTTGAAGTTTTGTAAACGAATTTGACACATCTTTATACCATTTACTCTTATCCTAGTTGTATATAAAATACACGTACATATATGTATACATATGTATGACAAGGTGGCACTGTTATAGTATCTATGAACATGTGTACAAGATAAATTCACATTTCACGAAATCATTTAATCGTAACGAAAAATGCATATAAGCATAAGTTATGCAAACACGAAGGAGATTGGGTGTCCATCTTTCTCCCACGTATCTAAATAACATGACTATCGATACTCGTTCTTGGATACTGGATAACATATACGATCTACGTCAATTAATCAAGTATTGAATTCGGCCTATTGGATTAATAACTAAATAACTAATCACCAAAGGTTAATTATTATATATGTAACTTCATAAAGATAGACAAATACATCTTCAAACTATTCATATTTAACTATAACAACATATAAACAAATTCACTAACAATAATGATTACTATGTACTGGTAACGATTTTAACGATGGTTTTAGCAATGCGGGTTGATATGTACATGCAAAACAACGAATACATTAATCAGGTGTTGAGATGCAACAAACAGATCGAGAAACATTGAAATCTCACCTGTCCCCTTCCATGGTTTAATCTAGCAGCGATAACGTAGCTTTCTGACGACGAGAGATTTTTTTTTATAGATTGCGTGAGGCCGGGTATTGATATTAGTACTAGGATTAATCATGTTCGCATCAAGTAGAGGTGTTGGTCTTATTGTTTGTACTGTTGTTGTTGTTTATAGATAGATATCTATAAAGACTTTAAAACAAAGATGTAACGCACTTCAGCACTGACGGAAAACCAGCAATGAAATTTCAGTATTCGAAATGAAAGTAATTATAGTAATTTTACAATTAAACACAGTCACTATAAGATAGTATACATTTATTAGATGTGTCGCGGAGACAGCAAATCACTGGTCTTGTCATTGGGCGAGAGCATGTACACTGGGCGCGGTGATGTTTAACATTACTTACATTGTAAAAGCGCAAATGATACTAAATCGACGTACAAACTGTACATGTACGCTCCACACGTGTACAAATATATCAAGGAAACTTGATGAAGCGCAAAATCATTTGTGATGAACAAATGAATGTGCAAGAACTTGTTGGAAAAGTTCACATGAATCTTAATTGAGCACGAGATGTGATGTTAAATGTTAAATAAACCTCACATCTCGTCGGAGGTCCTTATTTACACGACAAAGAGTACATTGCAGTCAAGTGGATAACTTCTGATCATGCGTTTCTATATTTCGATGTGATGAGATTTTCTTTTTTCATTAAAGGGAACAGCTTATTTCGATGACGTACACTTATATGATTCTATACTTAGATTCACAATAAAAAAAAATATTTATTTAATTTTTACACCTGATGGTACCATTTGCATATCTCCCAGACGTACATAAAATTATTCTTTTTCTCCAACCACTTAATCGGGATGTAAACCTCCAAACTGGCATTGCTGAATCAACAACTTATTTGTTATACTTTCAGAAAACGTACAGATAAATAAGGAACGCAGTAGAACGGATGGTATATGAAATACTTAAATATCAAAGTATTATGTAAATACTGCACAACATGTACACTGTATGTAGAGCGTTTCGGTGGTAGATATGCTAGCGCCTATTAAATCACAATATAACGACAGCACGTCTCCTATTTATTGTTTGATATACTTCCAAGACAGGAATTAGGAAACTGTGGTTCCCGAACTGAAAATATCTCAAATGTAGACACGTGTATTTCGCATACGTAGAGATGTGGACGTTGTATTTCTTTGATTTTGTGGAGGGGGTAGGGGGTGGGAGGTTCAACTGTTTAAATTGATTAGCTTGACTTTAACTTCACATTCATTTTGACTTTGTCTGCTGTGTCAGACTCAAATGCACATATTGACCGCGCGTTTTCTTACACTATAAACTGCACAGTCACCACAAATCTATTAAGTTAATACTGGCTCACAAACATTATACCATTTAGTCTTCAAAACATTAGTGAATTATCCTTTTCTCATTGAAATCAGAATTCACAACACAGGACTCAACACAATGTAACTATCTGAGAGTATAGTTGTATTAAGGTAGGAAATACATTGGGTTAGTCTAAGAATGTGTCAATATATATATACATGTAGGTCATGTGACCGTACACCGTACTCTATTTTTCTCAATGACTTGCCTTTTTGTCTTATATACCTGTGTTGTTGAAAAGTATGATTTCAACCGTTCTCGTTTCTGTCCAATCGTAATAAATACGCTAAATATTGAAGAGCTGGCACCGGTTGTTAAAATATATTAATGCATTATACAAAGGGACATAACTCTACTGCTCACATTTATATAGTCACTATAGTAGTTATCAGCACTAAATCTTAAACTCTCGCATTGGCAATGTCCTATCTGGAATGAAATCGGTGGGGTCCAATTCACACCAACCCTATCGAATGCTGCCTATTTATCGATCAAGTTTCATGTATTAGTTCAAAATCATCCAGGAGGCTAACAGGACTTCTGCTGTTAAAAGGCCTCGGAATACGCATGTGGTTGGTGTCGCCTCGCTGGTAGTGTTATAGTAGAGACTGAATGGCAGCAAACCCATGGAGAACGGTACACTGTTGCATCCACCTTCCTCGCAGCAGAGGAAACAATCTTTCTTTTTTGCAGGGTTGCACTCTTTGTTACAGTAGTAATGTTGAAGTTTGCAGCCTCGTGAAATGCTTTCAAGATAGGACCGAGTTTTGACCATCTTGAAAGTCAGGGTTGTCTGTAAAAATAAATAACATAAGAAATACATTTTAATTGCCAAAGTGAATCTATTACTAAATATCTATCAACATATGTTTTCAATACTGGTAGTTAATCAAAAAGGTTTATACATTTATCATGAGACAGCCCCAATGTTGACAATATCAAGCAGTACAGGGACATGGAATCAAATATAAGAGTCAGTAAATCATCAGTTGGCCTAAGGCGATTTGTTTCGGGACCTAATACATCATACCGAACTTATCGAATGTTCTTTAATAATTTCTAAGGGGTTTTGGTAAGGTCTGGATTCACTCCAGTAATTTGTTTGTGTATGGGATGGAAGAGTACTCACTCCTCTTAAAATATGTGTAAAACTTAATATCAAACCTGTATATAAAGACTACCAGGGGGATATGAAAATATTAATAGACAGGTGGTCGTTATATAAAGATTGCAAATTTACAAGAGCAATCATAGACAATATCGATCAATAGTTATAGATATGTGGTATCTGAGGCATATTTAAGCAGTGAACTGTAACCAGATGCAGTATACAGTCGATATGAATGCAAGTTGGGTGACAGATAAATAGAAGGTCGCCCGTTAGAGCCATGTAGAATGGCGCTTACAAGTTTGTGGTACCTACACATGTTATAATGAATTTATACTGTAATTATTTGTCAAGTTGCTTTATTTTTTGCGATGACCTACATTGCTAAATGCTAACAAACCCAGAAAGTTCTCTGACTTTAGGCCTATTGATACCGAAAGTATCTGGTGGTCATGTTTTTTTTACCTAGGACACCTGGAGCTGTATTCCTACACTGACCGATTCACTGTGAATTGCAGTATGTGTCATATACTGGAATTTGGGTTGCTAACAACATATAAGTAAATGCAACACAGAATGTAAATATTTGAGTATGAACGTCAATGGAAGACAGACAATGTTCCATATTCCCCAATCACTGTCTCGGGGGAAATCTCTTTTGTCCATGTAGTGACGTTATCAAGTGCCAGCCAAATCAATCAAACGTATACTGGTAATACGCTGTTTCCATTAATATAATGTGCTGCTTGTACTTTCGGGAAATAAAACTTTACACACGAATCAATAACAAATTATAGAGCATTACCATGTAAAAGAGTTACTTTAATGATTTTGAAGATATTTGTGGTATTTATTACTGAAACGTCCATCCCATTTAAAGAAGCGTTCCATTCTACGAAAATGAGAAATGAAATTCTATAAATGGTAATTTGAATTTGGTTGATTATGAATTCTGCTAACTGTGGACTAGGTCAACTTCTAGATATAATACATAAATAACATGTAGGTGTTCTATAAAATCAGGATATGCTTATTTAAAAAAAGTTTGCAATATTGACTTGATATAGAGAATATTTTTACCTATTGAGAACGTGATATGAGGATGGAACGCTTATACGTGGATTGGCGTTGATTAAGCTTCTTAAAATGATGTTCTTTAATAGTGACAATGAAAACAATACCTTTCTGTAGTAACACCGAAGCATAAATATCGATAATTAAGTACCCTTTATATTTGAGAACATGATAAAATTATGATATATCTATTCAGTATATCCTATAACCAATTTCCAGATAATAGATATATATGTCTTGGAAGATACAAATATACAAATAATGTTCGACTTTCTTTGCATGTCTGTTATATAAATGCAAAGGATTTTGGAGATTGTTGGAGTTTATAAAGTCATGGTGTATTTATTTGATTGCAAACTTTATACATTTCATATCAATTATAAAACAAGTTTTATCACCTTATATAAATAAGTGTTGCTGACCTGGAAAGTAGCGCGCAAGGGCCCGGGGTTCTAACATTGGCGGAAACCGGTGCACCAGGAGTGTTTGGTTAAGGAACATTGCATTAAATATTTCACTACATTAAACCTATTTCCATTGATATTAATAACGTTCGTAAAAACACGCTTAAAAATACAATGTTTCCGCCCGTCTTATTTCCGTTTTGTATGACCAGTGTTACCTCACAGCTGTAAACGTTGTTATTTCCAGTCGTCTCACACTGCTGTCTGTCCAGCTCATACGGAGCAGACACACAATCGTCCGTACCATTTGTCTGTCCAGCATTCCAATCACATGTTATGCACTCTAGACCAGACACTGGAACAAAGCAACAGTCTTAATTAGATCATGGAACAATGGTTATCACGTGTGATAAATATAATAATCTCTAGATACTAAATAATGAACATCTATTTCAAAATTGTATTGGCCGATAAAGAAAGCCAAGCAAAGTTGATAATTTACTTCACCAACTGGTCCAAAGACAATCACGTGTGATAATCTCTAAACCAGACACTGAAACAAAGACAATCACGTGTGATCTAAACCAGACACTGAAACAAAGACAATCGTATATCATTCACTTTAAATAGACCCAGGAACAAACACTGTACTTTTTTAATATACCGTATCGAATTGCTATTTTTGAGGTTTAGTTTAAATCCGTGTTTAAGGAATCTTCCAATACATCACGGATATTCATTGTTTCTTGACAAACACCAATTATCACTCACGTTATCATTCATCTAGGCCTCAAGATGTTGCTTTACAATATACATATTGCAAGATCAGTTTCCAATAGTCTTCTTCATACATAGAATGTAGTGCATGCAAGTTCCCTGTAATTCTGTACTTACTAAAGCCTGAACACACACACACACACACACACACACACACACAACACACACACACACACACACACAAGCAACGAAAAAATCCACATTAAAGCCCTAGATTTGTTATACGATACTAATTATTTACGTAACAAAGTCACTAAACGTCAAACAAAGGTTTTGTTAGCACAATCACGGTCTTCTATAAAGTGAAGAACCAACACGTCGACAATTACTCCGATTCCCTGTAAGCATTAGCGTGAAACTTTTAAGTGCAGTGCGTATGTCCTGTTAATGTATTTTTGGAAAACTTGAGGTAAATATAGCAGAACGTGATCCCCAAACTGCATGTAATTATGATATACGTACATCTACGTCACTTTGAGGGTTTAAGTGAGATTGCAGAGATATTATATTTCAACTCAATATGATTGCATATGGATTCACGCCAATGGTACTTGTCTCAACTAACACAATAAGCTGTTGATAAACATATTGTATTTTGTTATGATAAATAAGAAACAACAGACGATGCAGATTAAAGCAGACTCTTCTCTAAACAATGTCTACGGTTTGTTGCAAAACAATTTCATAAGCTATAAACAATATTCACAAGTGCTACATCAATTCCCAGCTTATCAACTGATTCCACTTACATTGAAACATATTAAAAAGAGTTATTCTTAAAGTCACAACCATGCATTAAAAATAGAGTTTTTTTTACAAAACTAAAACCGATATGAGCTTGTCATGTCAAAAGTATTTTGTTATTGTGAACACGATTTTAATTCTGTTTTATTCTTTCGGGATGGAAAGTCATGACGACAACTTGATATAAAATATTTATAGAGAGAAAGTGTCTGACTATGTTAAGTAACCTATTCAAACAGACTGTTACACGTATTCTATTACATTGAATATCGGCAAATTAGAAGTATGATAGGCAAAATCCTTACGGGAACCCCAGCAGGATAGAATTGTAGTAATTGAGGTCAGGTTGTCTGGCTTATGATAACCAACATCTCTTTATAATGGCTGATCTACGTATATTTTCATTACCGATATCGATCTTTTCGTACCTATTATGTATAGTGCACGGCTTATCTATATATATATTGTATACATGTACTACACAGTTCATTTATATATATTTCGATTTCTCCTCAAGTTGGACTCAATGCAGCTACCAAATGTTACCAGTTTCATTTGCCGATGCATTGACCAGATTAGCATTACCTGTGCGTATATGAATACATATTTTCAGATTTTGTGAAGGGAGATAAATATTGACATTTTTAAACCAAGAAGATACTACTTGCATGAGATTTTACATTTTTATTGAAGCTAACATAAGAAATTATTCAAGCAACCAAAAACCATCAGTCAGCAACATATTATCAGCGGTTGCTAGCGGTAGTGACAAGTAATTTACTGCCCTAGAAATTACCCCTTCAGCTACCCATTCTGCCTCTTGTGTCAGTGTCAACCCCCGGTACAAAAAAACCCAACGTAGATCACACATCCATGTGGATCCGTCATATATGAAATGCAGTCGAACAGCCAACTGCCATATCAAATTGTTTCGTCCTAGTGACGTCTGTTTTCCAGTCTACTTAGACATTGAATTACATGTACTGCAATTTCACATTCCAGAAGATGTAGAACGGCTCTCCTTTAGCGGCTCTCCACCTCGAGCTAGTAAAAAGATGAATGCCGTAGACTCGCAGCTGAGTCTGCGCACCGCGTCTCGACACTATTCTTCCGGGTTGACGCGTCAGAAACAAATTTGATATCTAAATGTATGAATTCATCAACAAAAATTAAACTTCACATTTAAAATATGTTTTTGTGTTTTATTTCTATATAATTTGGTTGTATTCAACTGTCAGCTTTGCTCCATCATGTTGTATTATGGTCCTTCTATGACGGACTATATTGTTTTTACGTTACATCAATACGTTGACTTGCACAAGCTCCAGAACATGGGACAAACTATTAGAATGGACTTAACAAGTTCCAATTATTGAAAAAAACATATTGATTGAAATATAAGGTATAAATCTTGCTTTGGTCGATTTCATGGGGTGATAAATTGAGTTGGACTTAAAACAAATTTAATGAACTGCGAATTGGGTGATGAATTGGGTTAGTCAATTGAGTTGCTTCATTAAATTTATTTCAAGACCATCACCACAATATAATTTATATGCAGTTTTGTAAGGGCTGTTTTCGTGAAATGCACATCCATATGTATCATAATGTTTGGACCGGTATGTTTCAACTTGCCTTACTATTGCAAATTGTGCCCTTGCCCTTTTTTAGTATATCGTTTTCCGTCTTTGCGTATTGAAAAGTTATCTTCTCTTGGGAGCAGGTATTGATTGTTACGTCACTTGTTTGTGAGAGTAACGTCATCAATTTTTGAGAAAACGACGAAATTTTCTCACACAAACCAATGACGTAACAATCAAGACCTGCTCCCAAGAGAAGATAACTCTGCCATACACAAAGACGGAATATGCAGATCTCCAACTCTTAACGCTCTAATTACCTAAACACACACACAAACAGACCATGACTCCCGACAGCCACATTTGTACCTGTACCCATACATCGCAGTGTTAATGTTCAGTCACATACATACATTAATGCAATAGTCCTTGAAGGATAACAATCTGATCGCTGAACACGTTTGCATTAACACTATAAGATGAACGTGATTAGCTGCATACATGCAACGACAAAAACTACTGTACAAAATTTACAAAAAAAATGTATCGACCAGTTTTTTCAAATGTCCGTTTATATTAATAACATGTGAACAATCACCTCTTACGACTTACATGTAATGAATATAACCCAAAGACAACTAACAATGCATGCGATCTATCTAACACCATATTTTAATTACTATTAGACGACCTACAAACGTATGTAATGTATATTTGGTAATTGTGTAAAGTGCATTGTTTACTATGGCACCTAACATCTCAACATTCAACTTGTGTTTTATAAGACCGCCAAAGAAAACCTACACCAGAACAAAGCATAATGCGGACAGCGAGGATATCTCCACTCTGTTTAGTTATGATGTATTAGAGAACACATCAGCTATATCGTTTTGAATGTGTATGGATATGAATACTTAGCAGTCCTGAGATACATGTATGCGTCAACTCAATGAACGGTAGGATGTAGCTCAAGTAAGAGACGTATTTTCTGATTTTTTTATGACACAGGATGTTTTGTTTTGATATTGATTTATGATTGAATAAAATACTGTGATATTTTGTGAAAATTTTCAAGTTGGCCTTGTATTGATTCAACTCAATCGTGAAAAACATTAATCTAAACCCTTACACTCAGACAAAGCTAGAAGCTATAAACACGGCTGAGGTTTTCCTGCTTTACGGTTGTAACCAGCATGGCATTAATGAAAGGTGCGGCTAACAAGCACTGACATGAGTGTTGTATATTGATCGGGGTCAATAGCCTCCTAAGAAGAAACGGTTTCTCTAAAACTCTTCACAGGACGACTATCGTTATCCTATCTATTATTTACTACATAGATGTTTCCCCGAAACGGATTGAAAAGGAAAACCCTAGATAGTTAACAATGTATGGCAACTATAGGACTTCGCCACATTCAGATGACGTTCATTAGGCTAGTAATGTCGTAAGCTGATTGTTAACGTCATCAATATTATGACGTCATGAGTGTTACGTTGGCTACTTGGACTTATGACTGATATATTCATATAACTAATACATTACTTGGAATTAATGCTGAATGGTATTAGGTATGATTGCATTTCCTATCTGTAAATAAATTTCAAAACTGGTAAATATATGTATTAAACAGCTTCAATTTGCATTCATAGGCAATATTAAAGTCCACTGCGCTGCATTACATTTGCATTTGTCCAGTTGGCATTCAAATTGCTTATGAATGCCAACTGAAAACAGTTCAATGCTGAAATAAATATATACCATGTCGACAATATTCTAGACTAATCAGACTTTAAACGAACGATAACGAAAATGGAAAAGGGTAGAACCAGAAGAAAAATCAAGGAAATAAAGTCTCCCCCGCAAAAAAAGCCAAAAAAAGCAAAATTGGCATTCTTTAATACCTATCATTAGGTGGTTCAGTGTGGTTTCGTTTACCATTTTGCTACTGTACAGGTACAGAATCACTAGTACACGAACTGTTAAAATAGTTCGTTTCATTGACGAATCATTTCTACACATTTCTACCTGTATTTCAGCGTAGCTGTTTGGTAAATTGGTTAACAAGGTCTAATTGATAGGTGTACATGTGTACCAGGAATGTTATCCAAGTCCTCTTAACGAAGCAACCACCATGGAATTTTCGCTAGTATGCTGACTGCTGATATCTCAAGATCGTTTTGAAACATTCACTTTTCACTTTTCAGCCGTAATGATAACTTCTGTTTGGAATATTACAAGGAATGTGGTTTCCAT